ACTACTAGTATACTACTACACTACTATATATAATAATTACTTCTATTAATTATTATTTATTCTATACTACCCTACCCCCAACCCAACATATATATATATATATATATATATATATATATATAGGGACTTCGATTCGCTCCAGTATGTCATATTATGGGGTTGGTCCCTCTTTTTTCACTGTTTTAAATGTTGCATTTAAAATACATAATCATGAAAAACATGTTGTTTTTTACATCCATAATGTCAAAACTCAGGTAGATAGTAGAGTAGATGTCCATTTAAACATGTTCTCTGATAATCATACTGTTTCTTGTTTTTTTAAATGTGGCTTCTGAGTAAAATTGAGCAATACTTGAATTGTACTTTACTTACCACAAGTAACTTGTATATATACTGGTATACGAAAAACAACTCTCATTTGTTGCCGAAGATTTAGTGATGAGAGAATAAAACATCATTACATTGATTATATTTAAATATGTAATGAGAAAATGTGTATTAACCTATCAAGATTTTTGATATGTAGCTCATCTATATAATATATTGATCACATGACTATTATTATAATTGGGCATTCTTGTATATGTTCGTTGTCACTTCACAATCACAGGGTAAGTTGTATTTGTAGTATTAATTATTACATTAAATACTGACATAATAACACTAACAGTAAAAGCTAATAGTGATACTGAAGGGTAAAACTTTTTGACGTATTCCTCATCAATGAAGAAAAAATAAGTTGAGAAAATGAAAAAGGAAGCCTGACGGATAATGTTATTAAAGTTTACAACTATAGCAATACAACTACAACTCCAGGGGGTTGATACGACGATAAGAAAAAAGGCCTCTAGTTTGTGATTTGTACTTGTCTGAAGACAGTAACAGTAATTATTGAGCAGGGTGAGAAGAAAAAAGTTTACGATTTGGAAAAGACAGGCTAGGCTTTTAAGACAGTTTTATTTTACTAACTAATACTAGTAACTATAGTTACAATAACATATCATTACTACTACCACTACCAGTTATGGAATGAGTTGCCGTTAAAACTTGCAAGTTACAGTAGTAACTAGTAATATTGGTTGTATTAATGTTACTTACTTACTTAAGTTATTGAGATTGGCCCTTCGCTTGTCTGACCAGATTTCAAAAGGAGAATCGACGATTTTCTAAAAAATAAAGAGTGGTTTAAATTTTTATTTTGCTTAAGAATAAGAGTGGACTGAGTGTGCTTGAAGTTGAACTAAAAAGTATTGAATTTGAAGGATGAAATTGACATCTGACCTGTTATTGTCTATCGTATGTTATATTAAGATGTTAAGTAGTACTGATACTACTACTAGTAGTAGAAGTAATGGTTTTTTTGTAACTATTTAACTTTTATAGGCTTCTTTTATGGTTCTGTGGATAAAAACAGAAAACTGAAAAGCCAAATTCCCCTTCCAGTTTCAGGCCTGCAGTATATATTTTGCTTTATTATTCATTTTATTGGTAGTGCTACATTTACACTCTTATTTATATATGAGTCTTTATCTTATTGCTACTACTACTCACAAAACTACTACTAGACTACATGACACTACTGAAATTAGGCTATTTGGTTTTTCCCTTATACTTGTCTTATAAGTTATACAAATTACAATACTTTATCATCATGTGATTGAAACAAAAAGTATATAAAACCTAAAAAGAAAAAGTTATTTGATAGTTGTAACTTAATAATTAAAAAAATGTCTAATAATGTCTACAATTTTATTAACACTTAAAATTTAATGAAAGTATATAATAACTTTCCACTGATTTCATTCTCATTTCAGTGCACATATTACTGTACTAAAACTTACATAATCAATACTCCTAAGTTTGGAAGACTTATTTATATTGTGTAAATTAAATCAGTTTTGATAGTTTGTGAGTTGTTTGTTAATAGTTATAAACCCCAAGGCATATGCCATTAAGTTCAGTGTAAACAGCTATTATGCTAACAACTTGCAAGAGGACAGTAGACTCCATACTTAACAATGTAAATTAAAATAATTTAGGTTATTTGTGAGTTGTTTGTTAATAATTGTAAACAAATTTAATTAACATATAAACTCAATGAAAAATTGTAATTTGATTACATTTTAATTTCATGCTGTATGTCTACTAATAATTTTGAATGCAGCTAAATATCTTTATAGTCACAATTTTCTTGCATGTGTTTATTATATGAAACTTTGCAAAAAACTGCTTGATTTTCTATACCATATTGTTAGTGAATGTATTACAATAACTTTTGACTTTTGCATCGTTTCCAATAACATAAATAATCTATACTTACAGCCAGAGCTTACTTTACTATAGATATTATTGTTGCTTTCCTAATGCTTCTAAGTTCAAATCTAACATCTGTTTTCACCATAATTTTGGGTCTTTTGGAAATATGCAATAGGTGCTGTTCTGTTGGAAAAAAACGTTTTTTTTACATACACTTTTAATTAGCATACAGTATATTTCAGTGAATTCTGAACTTATTTTATGTAATGTACCACTAATTATTATCTTTACAAGAACATATACCGTTATGATAATTATCAAATTAATAACTAAAAATTGCAATAAATTTGGAGAATGAGGCTAATACCCGCAATTAAATTAGAATGCCAATAAAGCCACATGTGTTCCTCTTCCTTCATGAGATGTTACGTTTTCCCTGAAAAGGTACAAATTCATTCTTTTTATGGAAATGCTATGTGTCTCCTTACTGTTTCACTATTAAAACAAGCTCTTTTTTAATTTTTTTGTTGATGTTCAAGTATGAATCATGATACAATTGAGGAAATATTTTATTGCATTGTAAGTTATTTTACCTGTGTAGAGTCAGTCTTTAGTTTCACTTTCACAAAGGCTACAGATATTGTATCTATCATCTGTGTGAATGAAGATTTGATTACTTATGATTTACTAAGTAGATGGAAGGCATTTTGTTTAGTCTAAGACAATGTCGTTCTGGTGCAATAGAAATAGTGAACTATTTTTAATTTGAAGC